CGCCCTTGCACACACACATAACACTTGCTGTACTACAAAGTCGAAGGACGCGCACTCGACGGAACAATCGAAGTAGGCAAACAAACCAAGTACCCCAACCCCAACCCCAGCCCCACGCAATCCCTCAGATTGACACTCGTCGAGCTCTACAGATGTCAGCAATTTTCTCGATTTGAATACATTCAACAAAAGCGAAAGTGGGCAAACAATTCAAACAGAGAAGAAGAAGAGGGAAAAAAACGTGGAGGAAAAAAGAATAAGTGAAAGAACCCGCGCAAATGGCTTCTCTAACGACCCAATTAATTTGAAACAAAAAAGTTGCGAGCGTTTGAATTTGAAAAAGAAGCAAAACAAGAAGAAGAAGAAGAAGAAGCGGCAGCAGCAACTGCTTTATGGCCACAGAGTGGATAATGCCACAGGCCACTAAATGACGTCTCCAGCTCCAGTTCCAGCTCCGACCTGCTTCGACCTGCTCCCAAGTAGAAGTTGAAGCCACATATATATGTAAGTAGCTAAAGCAGCCAGCCTTTCCCCCTTCCGGGTATCAAAAAGTTCGCGAATGCCGACAGCTTCATTACAGCCACCATCATCATCATCATCATCATCAGAAGCAGCAGCAACAGCAGCAGCATCAACGTCATCATCAGCTACCCATGAGTAATTTACCAAGCAAAAGTTTATTGCTGGAAGCTCAAGCTGTTGATGATGCTGTAGAGTAAAGTGGAGTGGAGTGGCGTGGCGTGGCATGGAGTGGAGTGGAAAAGTAAATTTCGAGATAAATTGAGAGAATGGAGAGAGCTTAACTGAGTAGCGACAAAGACAAGGAGAACTGCGTTGCAAGTCTTAGCAGTCAGTCTTAAATCCTAGCTTCCACTCACACAGATTTCAATCTAAGCAATATAATATATTAAATTTACTTGACTAATGAAGTAGACTTGAGCTGAGCGCTGAAGAGAGTTCAAGGTTAAGCAGAGCTAATGAGTAGAAGAGAGCGCACTAGTGGCCTTTGAGTTCCCAAGTCTTCGGTCTAACCAGCTAACCTACATATACAGATATGGAGTGCGATGTAGAGGTTTGAGTGGAGTGCAAATATTTACTGAGTAAAGCTTAAGAGAAGAACAAGCTGGAGATGTATGGAATCAATACAGGCAAGAAAAGTGTAGTAGTAAAAATTGATCGACTTGATGATACTCTGAATTCAATTTAGGTTAGGTTGAATAACGGAAAGGAATTGATAATAAGAAAGGAAATAATAATATGCTTAAATTTGAATTTATAGCTTTTAATAATCTTCTAGTCTTTTAAGTTTAGAGCTCTCGAGCTCTAAGCTCTAAGCTTAGATTGAAAGAGAAGGACGAATAGACTGAGAGACATGGCTAAAGTGACTCAGCTTGTTGCTTTGATGCTTATACATCTTCACAAAACCAATATACCCAGCTACATATACACATATGTATACACTATGAAGAGAGCTCAAGGTTGAGCGGAAGAACGAACTGCTACGATATAGAGCTATAGCATCAGCTGCTGGCAGTTCCAGTCTTGCGTATTCGCTCAACACACTCAGATCAAGAATGCCTCGACTAAAGATGCTGTGGAGTGGAAAGTGAGAACTGAAAGACGAGAGTCAAGCTACGGCTAAGAGCGGAAGAATGATTTGCAATATAGCTTGAAGCGAAAACAAAAAAATCGTGAGACTTGGCGCTGCCCCCAAATAATAATCTAACCAATATATATAAAGATGCTGCGGAGTGGAAAGTTGATTGATGCTAAGCATCGAGCACTGAGCACTGAGCACTGCGAGCTGATGAGAACTCAAAGAGAACAAACTTCGCTATAAATCTTAGGCACAAATACTTTCTGCTGTCAGTCTCGAGTCTGCGCTGTGCCTTTCAAGATCTAATCATTCAGTATTCTTACAATCGAAAATGTTCAAATCGACGAATTGCATTCTGATCGCATTGTTTATGCTGCTGCTGTGCATTTTGGCCAAAGGTGAGTAACCGACCTAGTTGAGTCTGCAGAGCATCCAAATTAAATACAAATCAATTCAAACTAGGCATTAATAAATGCAAAATCATTTTTATTAGCACAACTATTCACGTTTCGTTTCTATTGTTGTTGAGAGCTGAAACAGGTTTTCTATAAATATAATTTTTTTTTTAATTTCTAAAAACCAACTGTGTGGCAGAGGCGTAGATTCAAGCAGGGACAACAGCATGAGCAACATCAGCAACAGCAGCTCGTTAGTCATAATTACGTTGTGATTCAAGGTTTCCGGGTGTATGTCATCGTAGATTATCAGGAGTGCGAAAGACAGAGACAGAGACAGAGAGGGTGGGGGACAGAGTTGGCAATGATTTAATGGCTTGTAATTAAATTTTTCTCAGCTGCGCCCTATCAGGAGTTGGAGCCACGCAAGGGTCATGTACCAGTCTATATACGACACGGCGACGAGTCCTTGAGCAACATTCATCCCGGTCTGGCGGAAGCTTTTAAGGAGCAGCCCAGCGCAGAGGTAAGACCCTCCGAAAATGCATTTGCCTAATGAGAAAATTCACAACTTATTTCCCGTCTTCAAATAGAATCTTGTGGCGCAGACTACAACCGAATCGGATATAGCTAGCTTGGATGTTATCAAGGCTTTGGACAAACTAAATTAAATGGAATAAATATTGTGATTTATAGAACATAAAGTGTATATATTTTTGATCAAAATTCAACAGCTGAGTCTATGGATTGGTTGGATTATATTTTTTCTAATTTTTTCTTAAATTCATAAAGTGAAAAAATTATATAAAATAAAATTAGAATTATTCTAAAGAGCAAAGCAGAAAGCTTGGCTGCGTATTCTCTATAAGCATATATAGGGAATAATCAGGGTAATTTACAGTCAGGCAATGCCAATTATACATCCTTTACATATTTAACTTGCAGCTAAGGATGTCAGCACTTGTCTTTATCTACATGGAATCGAATGAATGAATCGTGAGCATTGATGCCATCGAATCTATTAAGGAATAACATGCTATTGAATGTCTTGCAGCTTCAGTTAATTCTAATATATAAATTAGAATTATATATGTATATATAACTAGGATCTGTATGTATGTATGTATATATATACATTCCAGCTCGTTAACTGGCTCGCTGTCCAAAATCGCCTTAGAGCTTTGCGTGTGATTTAGTTGCTGTGGCCCATTAGTGGAGACAGGAACTCTCGAGCTGTGGAAATGTGGCTGGGCAAACGTTTGTAATTAATATAATGGCCAAGGCTGTGAAAATGGCCAAGGCGAAGCTCAGATGAAGATGGCAAAGGCGATGAAGATGGCGTTGGCTGTGGCAGTTGCTGTGGAGGTGGCATTGCCATTGAGGCTGGGACCGAAGCTGAAGCCGAGGCAGAGGCTGTGGCATTTGGCCTCACACACGTTGCGCTGCTGTTGCCACAAATTGTTGTTTCATTGTCCTCGGTCGACGGGTCGGGGGCCGTCTAACGAGCAATAAAACTAAATACATACACATAAAGTTAATTATAAAAAGGGCAAAAGGAAATTGAAGTTGCCAACGGGACTATCGCAACTGTCGATGCTAGTGACGGATTAAGCTAAAATGGGACTACGATCTAGCCAAGAGCGAAGGCCATTCAAAAAAAATAAAATAAAACGGAGAAGGCAACAAAAATGAAAACAAAAGAAAAAAAGAAAAAGACTATGATTGCCCCAGTGGGGAGTGCTCGACTTCAGATATCCTGTACATCAATTAGACTGCAATTCTTCGATTTTGTTGGGAACTACAAGATAAATTTATAGAATCTGATGTTTACTAAACATGATATATGCTTACTTTCTAAGATATCTATGTGGATATATTGAAATATCGATTTCGATTATTGAAAGATAAAGTTATCAAAGCACGTTTTATCTGTTTCGTTTTATAGGAGGTATTTTGGGTAAAATTTACAGGTATTTTTTTCCAAAACTAATCCACCCTGTTTGTCCATTACACATACAGGGTATCCGGAAAAAAGGATAACTATGCGTTTAAGAACTGCTGTTGAATTTAAATTTGGCTCACAGGCGAGTAGCTCGTATATTCGTAACATTTCGTAGCCATATTCGTTTTCGTATTCGCATTCGCTTTCGCATCTGTGTGTATTCGTTCGAGCGCATTCAACCTCAAAATGAATAATTGCATATGCTTCAATGATTTGCGACTTTGTTCGAATGAGCCACAAGTTTTTATTTGGCCGGGCTTTAAGGTGACCCGTGAGCCCTGACCGCCCAGCTCAACCAGCGCTCCATCACTCTCTCTCTCTCTCTCTTCCTTTCTCTCTTCCTTTCTCTCCCTCTCTTTCTCTGTCTCGCCAGCCCCAATGAGATAAAATTTAAAGGTGGTTGCTGGCTAATTTGAAAATTGGCCAACTAATTGCTGCTCTGTGCAGCTCTTGGCCAAAACGAGCTCTTAAACAATAATTGCGTTAACTGTTATGTGGCTCGATTATCGCCCCCATTGACCATAATCCGCAATTGCATGTTAGCCGTTAGCTGTTAGCCATCATCATTATTGACTGACCATTAACAGGCGAAGCCATGATTCCAATTCGATACGTTGCGCTGCTCAGCTTTAGCTTTTACCCTTAACAGCTCAGCCCAAAAGGGGTTTATAGGTGGCTGCGGGAGTGTGGGGCGACAGGGGTTGGAGGGCGTAGACTTTTGCGTAAATATATGTTAAATTTGTCTTATCTACTCATCGGTCTATGTTTCTGGAAATCTCAGGAACTACAATATCTAGACATTCACAATTTCCTATGTATATGCATATAATTGTAGTATGTTGTAAGTCAAATAATTTCATCATATTTTACCTACAATTCATAGACAAAGATTGATTAAAACAACAGCTTTACGCAGCATTCAGGGTATTCACAAGTCGATCACACCCGACTCGAGCTACCCTTACTGATTTTTTTTTATTATTTTAATTGTGCATTGTGGTTTCAGCTAGCCAGTCAGCAGTCCGCTTAGAATGCCACCACCGTGAGCACCGTGTGCACCGTGACCACCGGCTGTACCGCCCGTTATGCCAGGCACCTTTACCAGGTTGCCCAGCAAGCTATGTCTATTTATATTTAGCAGGCAGCTGTTAAAGGTGAAAGGTGTAGAGTAATATTTTTATATTTTATACTATATAGTATCATATATAATATCTTCACTTACCGCAGATCCACGCGAAGGACTTCCTGACACGCCCACTGTTTCAGGCACTAAAGATCATATATTAAATATATGAAGTTAAATTTATTTTCTTTTAGAAAATACTCACTCTTACGGCCTCAGGGGAGGGTCGAGGACAAGTTTCTACGACGGAACCACCTCCAATACCACCGCCTCCAATGCCACCACCTCCAATGCCACCACCTTTAATGTCACCACCTCCAATGCCACCACCTCCTATACCACCACCTCCTATACCACCGCCTTTAATGCCGCCATCTCCAATGCCTTTAATGCCACCACCTCCAATACCACCATCTCCAATGCCACCAATTCCCTTTCCATCGTGTCCACCAATTTCCTTCGGTGATGGAGATATCATATGACATTTAAACGCTGCAAATGCACCTAATTATTTTAATACTTATAATACTTACATTATGAGCCAAGGCCTGAAAATTTACATGAAAATATAGACAGACAATTATACTTTTATAGATCTTGGTATATGAACATATAAATAGCTTTCTCACCATTGAAAGTAGACCTAGGACAACACCCAATACTAAGAACTTATTCATTGCAAAAGTTTCAGCTAGACTCTGATAACTCTCAGAACAGCGATCGTTTTTATAGTGCCCCTTGACAATGAGCGCGGCCTAGGCCAACAGCTGTTCCATTATGTGCCCATATAGGGCAGAGAACAAAACTTGAACTAAATAGGTAATTCTTTATAGTTTAGCTGCATCAGTTAACCCACTTTTACCAATTACAGGGTATACATAATAAAACTCAATGTCTCTTTAGATAATCATAAATATTTATTCGTCATGCAAACCGTTTTACACTTACATAAATAGGTAGGTTCAATTTCTTTACGAGTACTTTTCAATTGTGGGGATTTGTTTGTTTGGCAACTACATACATATATATATACACACAAATATATATATGTGTATATATATATAGGTAGTATATATGTTTACGATATATGCACGTTATAAGAACTAATTGTACAATAATTCAATCTAATAATACCATTTATGTATACGATTAATATGATCTCTCATTTAGCTATACGATTAGTTAATACAATTATTTAATTGGGGCCTGCAAAACGTGGCAGCAAAAAAAGTGACTAAACGCACATTCAAATGGCTAATAAATCCCTATCTAGGGATCATATTTGTTTTGGATCTCTAAGGTATTATTCCATTACATTTGAACTTGAATTTGAACTGCGAACTTCGAATGGGGTTTTAGGCTTTGGTAGTTACTTGACTTGAGAGATAAAGTTATCCATATCTAAAGATCAATATCAAAAGTGAAGAATCCTTAGCAAGGATTCAGTTGTACGACCTAGCGATCCTCAGGACTCTAGGCTATGTTGCACATTATATATTTAAACTCCGAAGTTCGAATGGGGTTTAGGCTTTGGTAGTTACTTGACGAAAGACAAAGTTATTCTTATCTAAAGATCAATATCAAAAGTGGAGGATCCTCAGCAGCGATTCGTGGATCCAAGGATATCAGGTAACCGCTGAGCTCTAGGGTGTCTTTCACTGTGTTTGAGCATCAACAATAAGTAGCTCCTCAGTTGTGCGATCTCTTGATAGCTGGTTATCCTTGGGTCTTTAGGGATCTTTAGGATCCTAGAGTCTTTCTATTACACTCCAAGCTTCGGCTGGGTATAGGCTTTGGTAGTTACTTGACATTAGATAAAATTAACAATTTCTATAGATCGATATAAAAGTTGTGTGTGGTGCAGCTTCAGACGCCCTGCATCTTCTTGCAGTTGCAGAGCCATTTGATAATCCTCGCATTGCGTTCCACAATCGACGGCGGCTCCGAGGGTCGATACGGCTGCGTGGTTTGTGGCTGAGTCTCTGTGCTGTCCGGCAATCGCATCGAGTCTACGGTGCTCACATCCGAGAAGAACACAGTGCTGGAATCATCCGAGTCGGTTTCCGGATTATGTTGATGCCGCCTCGGCTGGCTGTAGATCTCATGGAACGCCTCGTCGTTCAGGCCCAAACGATCGAAGAACTTTTCCAGCTCCGATATGCTGGCATTCAGTGCCTCCCGCTCCATGTCCGCCGAGAAACCCTTCGGAAAGAAGACATTCTCGTGCTCCATGATCCGCTTGTAGCCCGCCGAGCCGCTGCTGGGCGAGGTGCGCGGCTGGACAGGCAATCGATTGCGATTCTTAAAACGAATGCAACGCTGCCGCTTGAATTGGATGGGCGGCGGACTGATGTCATCCACCGAGGGCGCCGATCCCGGACTCTGGACCAGCGAGCTCTGCGAGTGATTGATGCTCGTGTAGCCCTGCGAGCTGGTCTGCAGCTGCTGGCTGGACGAGCTCGAATAGCGCGGCGTTTGCGTCTTGAGACGCGGTGATGGCGAGTCCTGAAAGGCCTCCGGCACCTCCGGCGTCGGCGTGAAATTGAGCAAATAGTCGGCAGCCGCATTGTCGTAGCCGGGCATCATGCCGCCCATCCCAGGTCCTGGCTCCTGCTTGCATCGGCAATCCATGCCAGTGGCAGTGACATAGCCACAATACGAATTGGCGCTGTGCTGCGTGGAGGAGCCGCTGTCCCTGCGAGTCGCCGCCACCAGGTTACAGCAATTCCTGATCGTGCCACTGGCGGTGCCTGACTGAGTCTCCCGCTGCCGCTTGTAGCACGGCTCGCTGCGATGCGTATAATGGCCAGAGCTGCCACCCGAGTCCCGATTAATGGATGACTCTCCGGCAGATTTGATCGAACGATTGCCCCGGCTGCAGCAGCTCAAGATCTCGCTGTGCGGCGAGTGGCGACTGATCTGCGTATGCAGATCCGGCAGCGATTTGTGGCTATTGATGTTGAACTCGTTCGTCGTGTAATTAGCGCGCTCGTCCGGATTGCTGGGCACCTCGTGCGAGTGAGAGTAGGAGCGTTGATAATTGTATCTGTAAAGAGAGAGCGAAAGAGCGATCAGAGAGCTGTAATGTACATAAGATATCTGTGTATATGTATAAAACGTGCTCAATATATATTTATAAGAGAAATACATGGCAGATACATATGTATGTGTACATGAGCTGCCTGTGAAATTTACAGGAGTTGCTCATAACACTCATAAAAGCTGTTTTTTATGAGATGGATATGTATATATAAGAGTACAAGAAGCACAAATTAGGATGTAGATACACGCGAGATAAGAATTATAAGAGTGAAATTCACAAGAGGTGCTCATAAGATAGAAGAGGTGATGGTTACATAGTCTTCTTATCGTATACGAGTATAAATACTGCTGATTGGACTTTAACATAAGCTCTAAATATAAGAAATATAAGAGTTGCTTTACAGCATAATTCATTGTACCACATTGGCAATCCATACAAAGCAAAAATTATGCATCTCCTCTCAACACACAAAAAACTCAACTTCATCCTTTTTGTTACGCGCTCTCAACAAGAATGGAATATGTCGCAGCCTACTGCGATCGAGCGAGAAAGCCACATAACATATTTTATTTACGCTCAATTACTCTCTTAATTCTGCATGCGTGTGTATGCAGAAGTTGCAATACTAAGAGGAGAGGAGGGGAGAGGAGCATAAAACTGTTGAAGTGCTTAGCAAAAAGCTTTTTTTTAGAAGAGTGCGTGTGCATGCACACATGCTCACGTTTGTATGTGTTAATTTATATTATGCTGCTGAGTTGAAGTGAGTGAGAGCGAGCAATCGTTTGGGAGAGTATAAGGAATCACAAAGTTAAGCTTAATTCATTTCTATTTTCGTAGCGCTCACCTGTAACGCTCATTGTGCACTTGACTCGACTTGCCCGCATACTCGGCTGGCGGACTGATCGGCCTGTAGTTCTCGGTGAGCACTAGTGGCTCCTCGCCACCGCTGTTCGGCTCACTCGGATATGCGCCGTATGTGGACTCCCTGCCAAAGGCATGGGCGGGTAGGTAGAGGGGGGGTGGTATTCTCAATGCGCTGCTCTCCTCTTCGCCGGGCAGCAAATCGGCATTGCCGTCGCTCAGCTCGTGGCGTCGCATGCTGGAGCGCTCCTTGGCCGTCGCCTCCGAGCCGAGCAGGAGGCGCAGCTTGTGCTGCAGCAGATTATTGTTGACACCAGGTCGTTCCCGCGGATGACTCTGGCTGTGCCGCTGATGATGATGCTGGTGATGATGATTGTGCATATACACCTGCTGTTGCACCTGCTGCTGGACCTGCTGCTGCACCTGCTGTTGGACTTGCTGTTGCACCTGCTGCTGCTGCTGCTGTCTGTTCAGACTCATGTAGCGCCTGTCCTCTAGCTCCTCATAGCTGAAGTGGCCCCGTTTGATCCCAGCTCCAACGCCTGTCCCTGCTCCTGCTCCAGCTGCAGATCCAGCTCTTTGCTGCAGTCGCTCGAAAACCGCGTCGGATTTGATATAGAAGGGCTTCGATTCGGCCAACAGTTCCACGGCAGATTTGCGCTTGTTGTAGTTGTAGTGCCGCCCACTACTGTGGTAGAAGGAGCTGTGCCCGAGATGACCCTGACCCTGGCCTTGACCCTGGCTCTGGCTTTGGCCTTGGTTCCAATAGTTGCGACAGCCCGCCGAAGACTCTGGCAATGCAGAGGCCGACAGAGGGCGCTGCGACATCGTTGCACTTGGCATATATAAACCGTTATACGAGCTCTCCATGCCTCCCGCTCCTCCGGCCCCGGTAAAGACCTGCGGACTCGTGGCATACAACGTTTGGCTGGCAGTGCGCGTATATTTGGGCATCGTTGTGTACATCGCCGGCGTGGAGCTGTGATGGCCGCCAGGTGAGCTGCTGCCATTGCACGAGCGCTGTCGGGGACTGCTGCATCCATGCGCTACGGTTGCCATATTTCCAGTCTGCGTCCAATTGTAAAACAATTCGAAGAAGCTTTTACTTTTCAAGCATGCAGACGAAAGTCTCCAATTAGATTCTGTTTTACAGTACACTATGGTTTCAATCACGTATAAGAGTATTTTAGTACATATCCAATCAAAATGTACGATAAAGCAGCCTTGTCTAAGTAACCAATAACTATGTGTGTCCAATAAGAATCTAGTTCAAAGTGAGATTACGTATTTCCATAGTAGAGTAGCCAATGCTTATGTATAACATCTAAATTGAATCCGCTTTCAAATCCAATTGAGCCTTCAATCTCCTATATAAGTATCCAAATCAATGTGAGCATCCAATCAATGAAATATTGAGTATCCAATCTGTATATAATTTTCAGTTATCACAAATTTATAAGAGTAGCCAGTGCATAGTGGAATCCAATCAGAAGTTGATTCAAAGTAAACTGGAGATTCTTTAATCTTGTAGAAGAGTAGCCAATGCTAGCAATGGGAATCCAATTGGCATCCAA